GGCAACTTCCTGTAGCTCCAACAAAGGTGAAGAGAGGTAAAAGTGTACTGCCTTCTAATGGAAAAAGAGGATCTGTGATGATGTTTTACTTTTAGTGAAAGGGGGAAAACCCAGTGGTTTTAAACCTCTTTCCCCCCTTTTCACTCTTTCTTTCAGATCACAGATGGAAAAAGTGGAGCAGAAAATTGCTTTGCCCAAAGCCACACACTGGCAGTAATTGAACTAGAAGACAGCATTGGTTTAAATAGAAAGTGTAATACATTCATAGTATTTGGGCTATTCTAACTGCTGTTTTCTCTTGTCCACATACACCATTTACTTTCCAGCTGTAAATGCATGGCGCTTCTGATAACAGAATCTTTTGGGAATCTCAGGGGGTTTCCCAAATTCTGAGTTGCTTTCAAGAAGCTTCAAGAAACAAAGAAGGACTAAATAGGAAATACCAAATTCATCAAGTTTTAGGTGCTGTTTCCCCAAGAAAAACATTAAGGAGGAAGCTCTGCTTTTTGTTCTTGTCCAGCAGTTGTGACTCTGATGTCTCAAATAAAGCAGCTGGTGGATCTCCCAGACAACCCAATCCTGTCCTACTGGGCTGTGCAATACATTAGCCAGTGATGGTCACTGTTTTGTTGCATGTGTAGTCTTAAGGATCAAGACACTGAAAACAAAAATAGATAGCCATTTATTAGATGATAATTGAGATGCAAAGAATTTAAGAAATCAAGTCAGTCACAGTAGAGTTTGATGGCAGATCTCAGGTAATGAATGAGAGATCACTCTCTCTCTGTGGCTTACTGCTACTCCAGCTTCCAAAGAGAAACAATGTCTTTGAAGGAGTCCATGTAGAAGACAGGAACAGAAACTAAAAGCAAAAAATAACGGAAGCTTAAAAGCATCATCCCTCCTTCTCCAAAGAAGCTGTTTCTATACTAGAGGTGAGACTGAGGTTCAGCAGATCATACTTTTAAATCCAAGTAGATGTGAAACTTTGTTCTTGAAGAGGAGCTAAAGAGCAGTTGTTGCACTGAGTCACAATGGTTTGTGGAGCTTTTGTGGTAAATGAGATCAGACATAACAGATGCATTAAAAAAAATGGTGAAAAGCACCACAAAGGCTGGCTGATATCCAGCAGCCCATCAAGTGGCTGCCATTTCAACATGGAGAAGTAACTACCTGCAAAAACTGTTATGTGCAAAATCTTGTTAGAGGCTAAAAGAAATCCACCCTATGTTTAGAGTCACACCAAATTTGTTTTAATTGCAACTGTAGCAATTTAATAAAATAATTAATATCAGTCCAAATATAATTATTGCAGAAAAATAAAGGAAGTAAAATTAAAGAAACTGTATAGAAGGTCTCAATAATAATAATAATAATAATACAGTAAAAATTGTTATGCACACACTATTTAGTACCTACCCTCACCCCTGTTCCTGGTGTCATGCTTGACCTTTCACCTCCTTGTAGCTTCCACCTTGTAGAGGGAGCACTGTGGGTCATCAGCACCTGGAGTCCCGTGCCTGCAGGAGTATAATGTTGATGTTTATAATTTCTTCTCTCCTTTTTTTTTTTGGCAATATCTCGCACTTGGGTTCTTTTTATACATTTTCTAATAAAGTTTTACTCCTTGCTTTTCTTTACTGGCCGGCAACTACGTATTTTTCTTTTTGTTCATCTTAAGTGGTTTTTTTTTGTTTCTTTCATATTTTCTTCTCATTCTTTCTTCTTTTTTTTTTATCCCTAAGAATAGTTTTGCCCATCTCCAGGTTTGTATTTCTTCAACTGACCATTGGCAAATTGTTTATAACCTTGGAGTGTCCAGTGCCAGCCTGTGCTCCATCTCTTACTATCCCATGCCTCTACTTTACACTGCAGTTGATGTCTTCACTTCTCAAAGTTCCTGCTGTTTCAATAGGCCATCCTGTAACACCATGTTAGAGTCTTAAACGTGGTGTTACAGGATACAGAAATATAATTCTACACAGAATAAATACTAATTATTAGTATCTATATAACAACTGTGATTACACATAAAAGTGAAACAAATTAGCCATAGCCCCCTGTCCTTCGTAAAAAAAAAAAAAAAAAAAAAAAAAAAGTTACAGCTAAATCAAATAAAACCAAAGCTCTGAGAAGCCTGGGGAAAGTTCTTGTGCTAAGCCTCCATCCTGAGCTCTTGGAACACTCGGGACAAGGCCTGTGGACTGTCACTAGCAGTAGCAACACAGTTACAAGTATTACTGGGCTACATGCTGTTTATTAATTTCCAATTCTGGATTAATACTTACATGTTGTAAATTCATATGTTGCATACTCTATGTAGCAGCAGAGGTAAAAATTTCCAGAAAGGGCATGGGAAGGAAGCAGGAACACTGCTGACTAGAAAACAGGCTATTGCCCCTGAACTCATCAGTGAGTGGTTATGAGCCCAGTTCATAGTCCACACGTGCTCAGCTTCAACACACTGGGTGTGTGCGCTGCAAACAAGGTCACAAAAGCCTGATATTGCAAATTCCTGCGTGACAGTTGAATCAGAGACATAACAGCAAAAGGACAACTCCTCACTTCATAGGTTATTTCAAGGAAGTGGGGAATATTAAGCATCTTCTAATAGATATTCTCTAAGTATAGAACGGGACAATTACATGAGTTTTTGCCTAGTCATATTACAAAAACTATTTAAAGCAGTCAGGTCATCTGTTTAAAGCATATATTCATGGTTGGAGGGAATAAACATTTGGCTTAGAAAAAGTAATTTTAATCAATTTTTTTTTATCAGTAGGGTCCAGCATGTTATTCAGAAATGGCTTCCTTCAGTAAATGGATTGTGAATCAATAGTAGATATAAATAAAGCAGTACAAAGGGCACAGCATTCAACAAGCTGCCAATCCCTGGAGCAGAGGATGACAGAAATCAGTATTCCAAGATGGAGACACAAATAAATCAGAAATGGGCAGATAATACATAAATATCCACCTTTTTACAAAAATTTCAGAGTTCTGTCTGGTCCTAAGAACCACTGAAATGTACATTAATATTTATGTGCTTTATATGACAGACTGCTATGAGATGGAGTTTAGTTTGAAGTCTGTTTTTCACTAAACATTTTCAAGCTTATCCCTCTTAGAAACCTTACAGTTCTTTAAATATAGAGAATTAATTGCCAGGCTTCCAAAGATCTTTCTGGAGACAGGAAGTAAAAGCTGCAGACTTTGTATTATGCTTCAAAGAATCAATTCTTGAGATACACTAAATACCCACAGTTCCTGTAAGGTCTGTGAAAAGTGATGTTACTCAGCACTTTTTAGGATTTGACCTCCAACAGAAAGAGGAATTACAATGTTTTTTCAAGCACACAGATCATAATAAATTTGTATTAGTCATTTGCATCAGGAAAATATTATTTAAATGTTGCTAGTAGGAACTTTGAACATGACTCATACTGTGTCTGTCATAACTGTTAATTATTAATGAATAAATATATCATTTGGGTCCTAATAGCTAATATTTCCAGACCATTTGTGTAAATGGTTGTTTTCAACCGTATGAATGTCAGTTGCCAGGAATTCAATAGCCTTATTTATTTCATAATTATTTAAGCATATATTATGCTAACCTGAAAAAAATCTCATTACACTCGTATCAAAACTGCAAGTTTTGTATCTGTTAAAAAATGTGATTCTCATGGCATAGTTTGAGCCTACAGATTGTACATTCAATGTTTTGTACAAAATGAAGATAAGGACAGAGTATTTGTAACTACTAGCCTACAATTTAGGATTGTGCAAACTGTCATCCTCACTAACCATAAGGTTTTACATTTCTTCCAGAATAATTTCTTATTCAAATGGCAATTCTGGATAATTGCTGCAAACCATACAAATGTCTGATTCCACTTTGAACCCTTCTGAACCGTAATGCTGGATTAAAAAGAGAAACTTGATTCACAGGATGAACACATTTGTATCAGTTTTGAATTTGCCACATTTTAATGTAGCTGTTCTTACTGCCTTTCCAGATAAAATTTCCCAATATATCTTCTTAGCACCATCTGTTAATAATATTTATAACAGAACTGCATAGGGGATCAGATGGGAAGGGAGCCCCAAATGTACCAACACTGCCTATAAAAGGAAAGCTAGTCTCTGCCTAGCAGCTTCAATGGACAAAAAGCTGGAAGGAAGCAATAGGGGCAGAGGGAACAATGGGATGGCTGCGTACATTGTACCATCTTTATTTTTGTTTGCATTTGAATGTTTCTGTTCTTTTCCCGAGGCTCTGTTATGAAAGAATTGAGTAGACAGCAAAACCACAGTAACAAGGACATAGACCAAGCTATAGCAGGCAGCCTATCAAAACACATCAGAGATTTCAGAATGCAAACTTCAAGCAAGCAATTTAGTGATACCGCTGGTTTCTAGATGTGCCTCACTTATTCTTCCCTGCAAAGCCCATGATCAGTCCGGTACTGCCCTAAGTCTCCCATCCTTACACACTCCGGTTGAGGGGGATGGACTTTTTTATTTAGTACTTACTCTAATAGGCTAAAATTCAGTGAATTTGTTTTCAATATATCAGTTAGTTAGAAAAACATTGTCATTTTATAGATAGAAAACATAAAGGTAAAAATTGATGGAAGTACATCTAAATTATTCTTTTTTTTAATCTATAAACCATTTATTCAAGCTATACATGTAATACTTCATTATTTTTTAGCAAAAGATTATTGCATTATCTCATTTTTGTTGATATTTTGAATTATTGGATCAATATTAACAAATATTTTGACCACATTTCACATGCATATGAACAAAACACACATACTCATTATAGCAAGGCAGTCTCAGGCATCCTCCTGTTTCATGGAATTGGCAACACCAGTACAGATGAGTGGAAGCCTTATTTAAACTATCTCCCAATGCAATCAAGTAATTTAATGCTTAGAAGAAAAAAAAAAAAAAAACAAAACCAAAACAAACAAAAGACACCAGTACTGTATTTGGGATACAATTTATTTTTTCAAAATTCGATCAGGTGAGTGTAAGGTCCATTTGTATCCAGTTTTAACACCTGCCTGTTTCCATACGTGCCATGCTTGACAAGAACACCGGCTTCCATGCATTTGGCATTGGCAGCCAGTTCTTTTTCACACAAAGTCACAAACTGAGAATAAAGTTCCAACCCTTTTTCTTTTTCAATGTTTGCATGGTACTGCATCTTTCTTCCCTTTGGTTTACCACCTAGGGTAGCTTGTGGAATGATGAGTACATCGCCTGGTAAATCAAGAACAGAGACAAACTCGCCGTTTTCATTTTCACTTAATTTAACATTCAACAGCGTATCAACTGCAAATAAAAATAAAATAAGAGTTAGTATTACTGAAGTGAATTAAACAGGACACCATAAACAAGACCCAACAAATATTTTGACAAACCACTAAGTAAAAGAAACTGTTTATTAATGAACTGAAACATGGACAATCAATAACTACTTAATCAACTAATATGTCTGAGTATTGTGAGGAATGTGAAGGATATTAATATTATATGTCTAAAGTTCTATTTTTGGGGGAAGTGATTGGCTATTTAAAATCCTAAAGGTGATTCTAGTTGGACATCCCCAAAAGAACCCAGGATGCAATTAGTGAGCCTTCCTTAATTGCTTGATACCCAAATAGGTAGCTTTTGCACAACGCTCTGCATTGTAGGACACACCACCCTCAGTGCACCTTGGAGAGTGTTCTGCCCTCTCTTTTCATTCTGGTAGCAGCAGTTTGCAGCACTGATCTGAGCTGAAGGCACAGCTCCACGGTTTGGTCTCAAGTAGAGCAAGTGTCCTTCAGTGCTCCACTTCGAGATGTGCAGCTACCAGTTTGTCACTTGAGACAGGATGTGAGCAGGAAGGTCAGATGCAATTTGCCTTATAAGCCAGAGCATATAAACTTGCAAATAAAATCAATGCATTTACTAACTTTAGATTTTCTGATGTTTCTGTAACAAATCAAATCATTACCCAACTCTGTAAAAGCTGGGAGGATACTAGTCATGCCTCCAAACCCTAAACATAAATGTTTAATGTTGTTAGAAGCAAAAACAGCTGAGTTGTGATTCAGGAACCAAACCCACACACTTAAACAGATTCAAAATATATTTAGGAAACATATTCTCTAAGAGAGGCACTCAAGAAGGATGGTCCTAGATGAATCTCCTGATAGGAAACAGAACTTTCTTTTTCTGGCCTGTTTTAGCTGCCCAACAGCTGAAAATACAATTATTCTCAAGCTACATTCACATGGAACTCTCACTAGCACAAAATAAATTCTTTTATCGTAAATATTTAGCATTACAAAAGGACTGTGCCCTCCAAGACCAAGAGAGAAGCCCCCTAGGAGTTGCTCTCAGCATTTTTAATAACACCTGTACTTGTACTGCTGATCTCAGCCCATAGCCTGAAACAGACTGAAATAGTGAAATATTGTTACACAATCTTTAGCCAAATCACTAGTATCAGCCAGCCACAGAAAAGGGACACTTTTATCTGGAATATGCAGCATCACAGAATTTCCCAGGGGAACCAGTGCTAGTGATGGAGGAAAGGAGGGAAAAGAAATAACATAGAAGTAAAAAAAAAAAAGCAAACCACAAAACAGAACAGAAAAAAAAATCAAGCCAAAACAGCACTGGGTAAAGACAGAAATTGCTACTATTTGACCTTCTCCACAGCATCTTCTCTGCTTCAATGTAAATGTTAAAGTGCATGTGGAGAAGAAGACAAGAATTGCAGATGTTGCTGTTATTGCTTCTGAACCAGAGAACTGCACATGCTAACAGTGTATGTAAGCACCACTGAAGTGAGACGGGAAAGACACTGTTTCATTATCCACACAACTCCCTCTACCGGCTATGACTTTAAATATCCTGCACATACACTGAGATCAGTGGTAAAACACTTATCAAAACAAGCCATGAACTATTTGAAATTCAGTTCTGTCCTGGACTGAACTTATTGCCCGACACACATACTATGTTAAACAGCAGGTGCAGCATTTTCTTTGTTTGCCAGAATGTTATCAGGGAAATTTGTTTTCTAGGTTGGTCATGAGCAGACAGACAAAGAGGCATGGACAACTGTCAAAAGCAACAAGACAGACCAAAGTGCTCTTTCAGCCAGGTAACCGAGTTCGAATAATGCCATCTCATGGCTTATCCAAATGGCTGCTACCTTCTCTGCCTCAACTGCTCTTCTCCATTTCCAAACAATACAATAATGTCTATGGATTATATCATACCAATTTTTGGGACAAGATCCTCATCAGCACCTTTGAAGAAGCATATGTAGATAACAAGCCCTCTCTGGATCTACAAAAGATAAAAACTATGTCAATGTTTCTCATTATCTATGATGCATGCCTATCATTAAAATGATCAAAAATCACAAAACCAGGTAACAAAGAGTAGTTTTAGTTATTTAGTACAGCTTCAGACATTGAGTTTACACACCACACTGTGGAAGATAAGATACATTCTCATTATCTGCAAAATGCTTCTACATACAATTAAGACAATTTGGAAGCCCCATGGGAAGCCAAATTTAGTTGGAATGTAGAGTGTACATTATTAACATAGACAAGGTTACAAGACAAATTAGTATACTTAAATCCAGCATAAGAAATAATTTAAGCTTTTTTCCTATCAAACATACAGCTAAAATCAATTTTCAGTATGAACCATGATATTATTTCCAATTATGAAACATGAAAAACACCACAGGACTTCTCAAAGAACTGAATTTTATTTTGATATTGAAAGTCATTTAGTACAATGTAATTCTGAAAAAAACAGAGATTCTGTTAATTAAATATTTAAATATGATGACCAACAACTGTGAAGTTGTTCAGAATATTATAAAATTGTTCAAAATACCATTTATAAGCCTGGGTAAAATTTAACTGGCAAAATGGAACTTTTCAGCTGACTGGTATAAAGTAAAGGATATGCCACATCTTTAGCATTCAGAGCAACTACTCGTAAGAACCATGTATTTGAGGGAAGAATTAGGCCTCTGCTGAGGAGAAAGCATGAGGAAACTCTCGTGTAGCTTTCCTGCTCACTTGGTCAGTCCATAAGGAATGCACGTGCAACAAGCCATGCTTTATGAAGCCAAACTGACAGGCTGTGCAGCCAGCAGCAACTATGTCTCACGCACAAGTATACCTGCATGGCTTAACTTCTCTGGGAAAAATCCCAAAGTACCCTCAGGCAGACAGGATATAAAGAAACCTCCCCATTGCCTTGTCAAGAATAAGTATCTTTTTCATTTTGTTGGAAGAAACATACATCAACTTGTGAAATACCACGGAAGAGATGTTAAACAGATTAGCACAGGAAGGAGTTATTAATACCAATGCTATCAAAGCAAAAGGATAGAAAAAGTAACTTTCTTAACAATACCTTTTAAAAAATATTTTCCTCTATTTGTTTTTTTCCCCAAATGATAAAGGTTTTTAGTGAAGAAATCTTAGCTGTATGCATGAGATTTTGTCCTTTTATTACTGCAGAGATTAAACAAAATGCTCAAGGCAATGACGGAGAAAAGCTATGCCTTCTATACTATCTTTCTAATGACTAACTTCTGAAAAAAGAGAATGCTCTTTATAGCCAAAATGTCACATACTGAGAACTTGAAAAAGTTTTAAATGGCTCCTTTCAAAACTCTTTTTTTTTTGTACAGTCTTACCGCAGTAACAATATTCTGCAAGCAGCTAATTTTAAAGACACAAAAAAGTAAGTAAAGTGACCCCTGCAAATCCTAAGGCCAGACAGACAAAGTAAAACAAAAATCATTCTTTTTTCCAGCCTCTGCCCTTATTTCATGTTTGTTTTTGAATAAACTATTTATCACAAGATGAGACATACATATTGAAGAAAATTAGAGGGACAGGAGGTTAAATGAGAAAACAATTAATTCAGAGACAAGTTAAAGCTGATAGAGGATGCCTCTAATCATACTGCATGTTTATTTTTTTCTTCTAGAACACTTTACAACCATGATATAGTTGAAAGCTATGCAACTACTTGTAAGCTGAAACTTATGGTTTCAACTATGACTGAAAACTCTGGTGCAACATGTACAGCCATGTTTCAACCCCTTGTTAAGTCATAGGTTATTCTTTAGTTTTCTTAATTGAATAGAAGATGTAAAATTGAATGCAATTACAAGACCAAACCTAATAATAACATGTGTCAGTCTGACCCTTATATCAGTGTTCCCAAGACTGTATCTTAGGATACACCTGTATCAGGTGTCCTAAGACTTGTGCTCGTTGTCAATGTAATGTGTAAACATTCTGAACCAAAGCAAAACCACTGCCATTGCTGCAGGTCCTCTGTAACCTATCAAAGCCTAGCTGACTGCTCCTCAGACTTATATTTAATGCACAAAAATTCGAGCAAAATAACACAAATAAGAAGATCATAAATTCAACCTGCTGGTGTGCAAATAGGCACTGCAAGGAAGCTACTCAGTGACTGGACAGGAAAACTGTACTCTATGTGGATTGACTGTGAGCAGTAAAATGCCTACATAAATAAACCAGCAAAGCAAGATACTGTGCAACAGTGGCATTTATTATACAGTGTCTTCAGTAATCATCAGATCAGGCAACCTGCTGAACCAGATCATGAAAGGCTGAAGTACCCAGCCCCAATGCCATATAGACAGCCTTAGCAACACTGCCTCCAAACGCTGCTTTTCAGCTCTTTTGCAGGAAAAGACAAAAAACTGACTCCTTTCTCACCCTCCTTACTAAATACATTCATCTGTATTTTTCAGGATTTCATTAGCAAAACTGAAATATATTCTGCAAAATATTATCTCTACATTTTACTGCTTTTTTATCTCCAAGAAAATGCAATGGACAATAAAATCAGAAATACTTTTAATTCTTCAAAAGTCAGCGCATGAAACTACCTTACATAAATTATTCAGTGACATTTCCATTTCAAGTTCAGATCTACTACCCTCTGGGAAGATTTCTTCATATTTCTTATATTCAGTGCAGCAGAGAGAGATTACATCATCTGCCACAGGTCACAGAACAAGTCTGTGCCTGGTATTTTGCACCTCTTTTTGCCATAGTAACCAGAAAACAAGTCACGGGAAATAAGACAAGGAAAAGACGGTTTTCCTTGTACGAACTGTAGGCACTTATACTTTTTAGCTGAATATTCATTTTATGTTTTTTTTTCTCCCACAGTTATGAAAGACACCAAACCTGACCTTATTTCACCCCTACCTTTACACCTTTACAAGAAGAATTCCTAGCATACTTCCCATTTTGTTGTATGCCTAAACCTTTTATGGAGGGTATATAACCAAAATTCTCCCTAAACAAGACATTCTGTGCACAGTAACCCTCAACAGGCCAAAAAACTCAATCATGAAAACATCATGCATGTATACTCCTAACCTTTTTCAAGATAAAAAAACATCTGCTCTGAAGTTCCTAAAGTACCTACAGGGGTCTCTTACAGCTCAGAAGCTATTCAAAGCCACCTACACAATGTGCCACTTATACTATGCTAGAAATGTCTCAAGGTGACGTCCTACTTTTAATTGGTCATAAAACATCAGGAACACATTGGTTGACCTAAATAATAGCTGATGATGTGTGTACTTTTTTATTTTTGTGGTTTTGTATTAACATGCAAAAATAGGGAGTAAAATTACCCTACCAGAAAATGTCAGCAGCAAAATTTCCTTCCAATAACCTCTAAAGTAGTCATACGAGAGAAAAATGAACTTACAGTTGGCTTTTTTTCTGCATGGTGACTAGTTCTTGTTAAAACAGACTTCTCTTAAAAAGCCCCAGGTACCTGGGAAAGATTCCCAAGTACCCATGACAAATATTACTAAGGTTCATGTCTGAAAAATATCTGCTGGAGATGACCCAAATCTCTTTCAAATTCCTTCAGTGATATCTACTACTTTCCTAGTGATTTTGCAAATTAGAGAGATAAACTACATAACCTCCTTGCAGCAAAATTGTTCATATCTCTCAACCACAACATGTACCTTTTAAAATAGTTTAAAAGAAAGACAGCAAAATTACATTTCTGCTTTTCTTTACTAGATCTACAATTACTTCTGTGATTAGCAAGCTAGAAATAGATTATTTCTCCTATAGTTAATTTACGCTGGGCTAAGTGAATTTTATTGTAATTAATCTTATACTGAGAGGCTAAAAATGTAGTATACAAAGACACACTACATCTGTGAAACACAGTATCTGTGAGATGACACCTATTTCCTCCCAGTAAAACATTCTGGCTCCCCAGACCATACTGCAGAAACTAGTTCTGCTGGATCCACCTACCCCTTCTGAACAAGGAGAGAAATGTTTTAAGGCTAATGTGAAAGGCAAAGAGTGTACTCTTTTCAGATGTGCTGAATGAATGCATAAACCCTTTAACCGTGCTAGAGCTTTCACTTTTTAAAATTTATGCAAGTGACTGTATTAAGCCCCTTCTGTTGTAACAGTCTTTAAAAAGGACAAAAGACAAAACCAAAAAAACCCATGGGCTAAACAGCTGACAGTAGCAGAAATGAGTTATTCTAGTGTAGGTAACTCACAAGCAATGACAACTACAGCAGGTCAGTGCATTCCAAAGGGCAGCCTTCATGCTTTGCTAAAGAGCCCTGGGCTGCCTGCATATATACACAGCACAAAGAGTCTGCAGACCTACCTACCTGTGCAAGCAGAAGACTATGGGAGGAAAAGGGGGAAAATACGTTTTCCTTAACGTGAGTGGTGGTCTACATGCTAAATTTCATTTTTAGTTAGTGTTGTGGAAAAAAACAAACAAACCGAACAACATCAGAACTACTGCTGCCACAGTCCCATTGCCCTACCTGGCCTTTCTTCTCCAAGTTAACACTACCTCACAACAAACAAAGCCGACAGCCGAGCCCACCAGCCAAGGCTGTAGTGTTTCTGTGAGTGTATTTAAGAAAAGAAGGAACAACACAGTTAGAAGAGAAGCGTGTGGTCGTGGAGCAGTCATGATCCTGACGAGACTTCTGCCTGCGGAGGACTGTGTGGCCCACAGGGAGAGAGAAAAAGCACCAGAGAGCAAGCGCTGTGCGCCTCCTGCTGCTCGTCCCTTTGCCGAAGGGGCTGACTGCAACCTTTGCTGATAACCAGGGAGCGAGGAGAGTGCTCTGGAGGGGAAACGAGACGAGGCTAGAACAGGGCTGGAAGCGCAGCCCAGCCCGGAGAAGGAGCAGCGGCTACCCCCCTCCTATGTCCAAACGCCCACCCTCTCCCGGCGGCGCACGCGCGCAGGGCACGGAGCGCCTTCCCTGGCCGCCACGGCCGGCCCCGCTCCCCGGGAGAAGGGGCGATGCCGGCGGTGGGGGGCGGCCCACGTTACCTCCACCCACTGCGCCTCGGAGCCGCTCTCGGGCGGCCGCACCTGCAGGCGGGCGGAGACGCTCTGCTGCAGCAGGGCCCGGGCCCGCGCCGGCCGCGCCGCCGCCATAGCGAGCCCGCAGCGCTGAGGGCGGGGCCGGGTCACGCCTTTCCGGAGCCCGCGGGTCACGGGCGGCGGGGAGCGTGAGGGGGATCCTGTGCGGATGGATAAACGGCGGCTTATGATCCGCCCTCTCCATGGAGGGGGCTGAATACAAGCTTTGGAACTGTAGAAAGTATTTCTACAGCTCTACTTACCGATGCCGCCGGAAGCGGGCTTTGGTTTCTTGTTTTGATGAGAAAAGAAAGATCTTGTCTTGTGCTGGGGAAATGTTACATGCTTGGGATAAGAGCGGCATGCTGTATAGGTTATGCATGGAAAAGAAAATCTGAATATTGCTTGTTATTTCTTCTGTTCATTACTTGTTTGTGTTTCAGGTGGCTGAGATCAGCTGGAGTACTTCTCTTCAATGATACTGCATTGGAGCAGAGGGAAGAGAAAATGCAGTGAGAAGGGATCTGGATATCTAGTGGTCCAGATCATCTGGGAAAACGAAGTGCATGGTTTTGAAATGAACTCCCACTGCTAATGGGAAAAGTTAAATATTAATATTGCAAGTGGTTCTTTTATTATCTTCCAGGTTTTTTGCTACGTACCCTGATACTCCTTGAGCAGCTGCAAAACTGAAAGAGTTGTGTCTTTCTCCCATACATGAATTCTGACAGAGACAAGTTTTGAACAATACTGCCTTCATTCAAGTCAGGATAGAATGATGTGGAATTCAGTATCTCTCTCCAAATTAATTTTATGACTGGAGATTTCATCTTTACAACTGTGTTTTAAAATATTGTAATTTTTTTAAAATAAAAAAGTTAGTATATAGCAATGTGAGTAAGAAGCTGAATTTTAGTACCTGGAGTCTATCATAGAGTAAGATTACCAAAGATACTTATTGAACAGCAACGGCCAATATGCACTTCTGAATAATCAGTGTTACATACAGGGATAGTTTCAACTTCTGTCTGTCATTTTAAAAGAAGATTCTTGATGTGTGTCCAATGAGGTTGTTCTTCCCAAAGCAAACCTTCCTGGAAGAACGGGAAATTGCGCTAGGTAGTTAGTGTATGAAGCTCATTTTTTGTTAGCTGTATGAGGTGTTTTTATTCAAACTCTGCTAATTTTATTTAAAGTACCTTCTATTCATTTACTTCAAAACTGTATCCCCAGACTCATTAAGAAGAGTTTAATGAGGTAGAAATCCATTTAAAATGAGAGGGTTTTCCATATATATTTGTGATATAAATTGATTGTTAAGGAAAATGGATTTTGCTACAGTCTGAGCAAATTATAATAAGCAGATTATAGAGGGCTATTAATATATAAGGATATTGATTGTTATTTGGTGCTGTGCCATTATTTACACCAGGGTATGATGGAGAACATTTATTCGTGTGCAGGTTTCACTACAAATGCCTGTGAAACATTGCATAGGAAAAATGAGTACGACATCATTGTTTATGTATGGATTCTTGGTGGAATTATGTCATATTTTCCTTGGGAAGCCAAGTAATTCTGTTGTACTTTGAATTTCTTGAATCTTACTGGCTTATTGTTAGATTAAGGGCCTCTCTTTTTAGGCCAAGGAGTGATAGTAAATTTGTTGGATAAATTTTAGGCGTGGATTTGGATTTGACTGTGGGTTTTATATTAAAAAAAAAACAAACCACCTCCTGACATCTAAAGGATATATCCATGCATAAAATATATTGGTATTTTTATCAGGTACTATATAAAGACATTTTTCTGCATGTTTTGGATTTGACAGTTGTCCCAGAATATTTTCTGTATCCTCTCTGCTTGTTGTCACTGGATCTGAAAGTAGGTATTCTGAGAATGGCACCCAGAAGACATTTCTGGTTATTTTCAGATCACTTATCTTTCAGAGGGGCAGATGGCAGTCTCACAAATTGCAGCAGAGGTGTGTTTTTCCTTACCCTTTGTGGGAATGGTTAAGTGTCTAAGTTTAGGACGTGTTTGGACAACACTCTCGAGCACATGGTGTGATTCTTGAGGTGTCCTGTGCAGAACCAGGAGTTAGACTTGAAGATCCTGATGGGTCCCTTCCAACTCAGCATATACTGTGATTCTGTGCGTATTTGGAACAAATCCTTTAGTCAAGAGGTAGGTGGATGCTGGAAGGAAGCTCTGCCTGTGTGGGGACTCAGCTTTCTCCTTGTCTTTCAGTACCAAAATGATCTCAAGTGGTTGAATTCTTCCCTGGGGATGTTTTATTTTGAGGGGGCTTTTTTGTTACTATTAAGTTTGGTGTTGCATACATTTGGCCGTGGCAGGAGTTGACTGCGCCTTTGAAGGGACAAGATGTATCTGGGATGTTTTTCCTTTGTCTGTGGTGTCTGAAACATGATCAGTGGTCTTTCATGGAGCTATCACATTGACAGAGTTGCCCCTATCTGTTTTGAAGAGAAACTATACAAAGCTGCAGCAGCGCTTAGATAGCAAAGATACAAAGTAGGTTGCTGGCAGGGGTTATAGCTTGGTAGAACTCCCTCCTTTGGGACAGATGGAGCTGAAAGAATCCAGAGTGTCATGGGAAGAATTAGATAACATTTCATTTTCTCCATTGCCAAAGTTGGAACTCTTCCCTTGCACAACAAACAAAAAAATTTGCATCACATAGCATCATTTGGTAAAGAATCCTGGGTGGGAGCCGCTACTGATGTGAAGGGTGAGACAGAATGTGCCAGCTGTTAAAGATTGCTGTTAAGAGACTCATCATCAGAGAATGGCCTGGAAAGTAGAATTTGCAACAATGAATTGCAAATTTCCGTCACAAGGTAAAGATATTTCACAAAATAATTTGTAAACTGGGATTCATGTTGAAATAAAGTACAATTTCAATTTGGCTATGTTGAAACAATAGGTCAATCATCATATAAAAAAAAAAAAGATATTCCATATCTCTAGTCCAAGATGTTTAAACTGCCACAGGACAGCTCAGAATGTTAATATGATTTGTTTCTGAAGTGATGTTTATGATCATACATCTTGAACTGAGTCAAGAGTCCTTCATTTTCTGTTGGAGGGTGACCTCTTTTTCTTCTCTTTTTCTCCCAATTTACTTATTTTGTTTCTCTTTTTGAGCTACTTACCTTATCAAAGATAGCACAAATAGGTTCTCTGCCTCCAATATTTGGTGATTATTTTTTGTAGCCTATTTCTCAGTCTGGTTCAAGACCCAGTTAAGCCTACTGCAGCCTCAGAAATGTTAGCTGAAATGCTGATTAGCTGGCAGAGACAAGGTACTGCTCAACAGCAGTGTGGGTGCAGAGAGAATTAGCTGGTGATTTCAGAATAATTTTACTTCTAAGACATGTTATGATGACTGTATTTAGTACTGACTTATTCAAAGTACTGTCCAGAGATTAGGACTATGTCTGCCTCCCAACTATTATACTCCTTCCTCCAGAAGTATTTAAATAAGAAAACCAAAGAGGGCATGAAGAATTTTCCTAGTACAAGTCAGACAGCAGAAATGAGCAGTCCTGTCAAAGACTACAAGTATGGCACAATGCCTGTGCAGAGCTACCAGAAGCAGCTCTTCCAGAGAAGAGATAGACTGAAGACTATCATCCACTTTGCCTTCCAAACTGCCCCCCAGGTCTGTCCAGCATTTGAAAGAACCGTTGCAGACTTCTGGGGGAAGTTGATTGAAAGGAAGATGGTAGTGTAATATTTATCTTTGTACTTTGTACCATACCTCTGAGGAAGGTCACGGCTTCTTCAGTCCCAGTTCTGTAGCATCAGAGTTGGTCCACCTCTTTAGGTCTTCCAGCAGAGCCAATTTAGTGTCCCCACAAATGTCAGAATTGTTTGCAATGAAGTCTGGTATTCCTGTTGTGGAAGTACAGTTCTGTGATTTGAGCAGTTGATTTTATCTGCTAGTTGTATTTAAAGAAAGCAACAAAAATTTAATACATGATTAAAAATAGATTAGTGTTTTGTTTAGTCCTTCATACAATTACAAAACAGACACTGAAATGTGTTATAGCAATCAAAAGTTAATTAAACTTTTGAAAAAAAAACCAGATTCAATGTGAAAGCTGTGTCAGATACAATTACTGTTTTTTATTGTGCCAAGCAGAAATTTGCATCTATTAGGGGAAAAACGTGGCCAGATAAAAGACACACAATCTGCTTGTTTACTGTGATTGCCTAAAGGAAGTTAGAACAGTGTTAGTCAGTTTCTTTCTCATTGGGCCTAATGCGACTTTTAGCTACTCTATTTTTTCGTGCTTGGGTGTCTCCTGAACCAAATCTTTGTCTGTATGATTGACAGGCATTAATGTTAAAAGGACTTCTGTATGGTGCTCCAGTGGAATCAACAGAGCAGTGGGGGCGGCCTACCTGCAGTGCGTGCCACGGGGTCTCACTGTAACATGATGGACTGCTTAGAAGCAAATGCTTATTCTTTATTTTCATGGAATTCAGCTGATCCCATATGCCCATATGCTCTTTCTTGTGCAGAGCCAATCTTGAGTTTCAACACCTCACTCTTAATTCTGGGATTCAGTGGGAGGCTGAACAGTCATGAAGCTGGCTCCATGAGGAGTCCCTCACAGGTCAGCAGTTTTCTGCCTTACCATTAGGAATGGCATTGCCAGATCCAGGTTGATCCCTGCAGGTGTATCCAAATGGACTTGCATCCTTGGTCTCCTGAGTTTGGGATCTGGGTTCTACACAGCAGGAGCACATGAAAACAACTTGGGTGTAGGACAGAAGTGACTCAGTGGTGAGGGAGGCAGCACACAGCACTGAGCTAGAAAAGGGTAACCTTGTGGTCAGAGGGCCTGGACCAAACGGCAGGAGTAAAAGAGCTCAGTGACAGTCAACAGCTGTACAAGCTGTCTGCCATCCCTGAGCAAGCTCAGCAGGGCCACCCAGGCCACCCTTGACCAGTCAAAGCCAGCTTCAGCTTCCTGTGCTCTGTATGGAGCTGCTGACCACACAAATTCAGAGCCTGGCACTGCTCTGGGAGGTGGGGGTCTGGTTTGCTTCAAGACCCTGAGCTTGCCCATGCCTGGCTGATATAGATGGTGCTGCAAACTGGGTTCCTCCTGATGGAGGAGGTATTTAGTACAGGCACAATAGAGCACAGCTCCTACATTCTTTGTTTTCCTACCACCAGGGTTGGTCTGCTGCATCATACTCCTCTACCCCTCCCATGTACAGCAATTAAAGTCTGTTCTATCCAAGTATTGCTGCATCACTGCTCTCTTCACTTTACAAACAATTTTGCATCAGCAATTAGTACTACAGAATGTGGATGTGTTATTTAATCCCTTTTGTTTTCATCTTCAGTGAGAAATTTTGATGACAATATGAGGATATTGCTATAG